GAAGACAGAGCATCACTTGCCCCAGAGTCCCTATCTATACCTTGTGGCTAATAGCCACTGATGGTCCTCTGCTCCATATGCTTTTGGCCCCCCTATTTCAACCCATAGAACTTCCAGAAGCTAATCCAATTCTCTTAGCCTTTCAATCTTTCTGGACTTTATACTCTCTCTGACATACAGAGCCACCCTTGCAACTTTATGGCTGGCACTTATTAAAACCAAAAAATCCCCCCCAAAATACTCTTTATGTGATGAGTGCAGCACTTGCATGGTCCTTAAGGTATGCAAGTCCCAGGTTGGGAAATCTTTAAAAGTTAAAACCAGTATCTTGAACTGAACACAGAAGACACAAGATTTCAAAATAGGTTCATGTGAACAAAATGATTAGTCCTTATCAATAACCAAACATTTGGGAAATGTATTTATTAATTATCATTTTAAATATATGTCAGTCAAATATTGTTCTGCCAGAAATATCCTGTGTGATTCAGAGCATGGATGAGGATAATAGTCAAATACTAGAGTCGGAGAGGAGAAACAAAACAGGTTGCATTTTGCTAGTGGGCATTTTAGTAGGGGATAGAAATATCGATGCAATAAATATGAAATTGAGCAAACTCTGGAGGACGATGGAAGACAGGAGGGCCTGGCGTGATGTGGTCCATTGGGCTGCAAAGAGTCGGACTCAACTGTGCAACTGAACTACATGAACAAAAGAACTATTTAGCAATTCATCCACAGTCAAACAACTGAAGTTTGTCATTGATCTTAAAACTGATTCTGTATCAAAAGCCCATATTTTTTCCGACTATGTCACCCCACATAATTATATATCTATCCAATGAATCTGTTTTTAAATTTCCATGAATATGCACTCTTTTTGCCTTCCTTTTTTCTGCAATAGCTAAGAATTACAAGAAGAGCCCTCCTGGAAGAGATCAGTGGTCCATGTAGTCCAGCATACAGTTTCTCACAATGGTCAACTGGCAGGCCTGCTAGCTGGGTACACTGTCAAAGCTTTCCTTTAGTGTTCCCCTGCATCTAAGAACTGTTGGTCAAAGGCACTCTGCCTCTGAACATGGAGGGTTTTCCCCCCAGTTAGTCATCATTACTAAATAGCCACTGATGGACTTTCATAAATTTAATCCTCTTTAAGGCCCCAATGTATCTTGTGGCAGAGTGTTCCATAGGTTAATAGTGCATTGTGGGAAGAAACTTTCTTTGGTCTAAACCAAATCTGCTGCCCATCAGTTCCATTGGGTGTCAATAAGTTCTAGTATTTATGCAGAGGGAGAGTAAGTTCTCCCTCTTCATTTTCTCCACCCCGTGCATAATTTTATAAGGCATCTTTTTTCCTAAACTTTTCAGCTTACCTTTTCCTCATAAGGAACATGTTCACCCCCTTCAAATATTAAATAATTACAAGCAATGTGTAGAAGGTAAGTGAATTAAGAGAACGAATCTCTTCAGAAATGGTTAAAATTAGAATGAAAAAGTATGTGGAGAATGACCTTTATTGCATCATTCCAACACTACAAAGCTTATGTTAACACTGAGAATAAGCATACAGTAGTATTTAAAATAAAGCCATCCATTTTCTTCTGTGTCCTCTTGCCCTTCACATATTTTCTCAGTATTGTTTGTTTGAAAAGTAGGCCTGGTAACACTGGTTTATCTTGCAAAGTTTATCTTGTGAGGTCAATTGAGATTTTAAGCCAAGAAAAGAAATGTTCTTGGTACATGTGTCTTTGCTTACAATAATAAATAGCATGCATGATATATTTTGAGCAAATAATTTTCCACTCATAATTAGCAGGAAAAAAGCATTAAGTTTCATATCAAGAATTACAAAAGCTTAAATTACTGAAAGCAATTTCAAATTCTGTAAGAGAGATGTTTTGTAATGGGTGGTCCTTTTGCACTACACATTTCTCCCTCAGTTGGATTTAACAAAGCGCTAGCGAATTGATATTTAATAAATAAATATTATTTATTTATCTGATAGTCAGATCTCTTTATGTCCCCTCTATTTAACATGCCATCTCAGACATGTAAGAATCAGCAAAGATGCCACATCAGTGAAAATACTTTTGTGGTAACCTGTGTAACTTTAGACAAATGGTTCCCTGAGTGAAAATGAAGTGGTGAAGTTACCACACACTGCAGTTGAGGGCCTGCAGCTGAAACAATGAGTAGCTCTATGTTTTCAGTTTCCTAGGCTTTAACTGGTTTCTAAACATTAAGATGCTTTCTCATGCCTTATTGTGAAGATCCAAGTTACTCCATAAAACAACAGTTGAGCAATTCAAATCCAGTCAGTCTCTCTTTAAAAATATAAAAGGGCGGCAGAAGGTTTGCTGAACAGGACTTGCTTACTTAGTAAACATTTAATAATTTTTTGTTCATGGAGATGGGCATTGCTGGATTTTTATCTGGAATATCAGATTATATATTGACTGTTGTGAGGAATTCCAGTTGTGGAAAAAGAATGACTGAGCAGGGCAAAAATGACCCATTGTGAAAGCAGCTGCTCTCTATATATGTCACATTTAGTGAGAGACTTGAATAGACGTTGAATAGAGCCAGTGTGGTGTAGTGATTAAGAGCCGCAGACTGTAATCTGGAGGTTTGATTCCCTGCTCCTCCACATGAAGCCTGCTGGGTGACCTTGGGCTAATCACAGTTCTCTCAGAACTCTCTCAGCCCCACCTACCTCACACAGTGCCTGTTGTGGGAAGGGGAAAACAAGGTGATTGTAAGCCACTTTGAGACTCCTCAAGGTAGATAAAAGCAGCGTATAAAAACCAACTCTTCTTCTTCTCCTTCTTCTTTGATTGTAACATGGGGCTTCCTTTGCCTTTATTCTGCTCCGTACCCTCACACTGACTCATACCAGCTATCTTTGCTGTCCAAGACTACGGTCAGTTTTTTTTTTCTGTTTTTATTGCAAATCAGAGGTCATTTCGGGGGGGAACGCGGGGGAACACAGTTCCCCCGGGTGAGGTACGGGGGCGGGGCACATGACGAAGCCCCGCCCCCCTTCGCGGGGCTTCCTTGCACTCACGCCGGCCTTGCAGGTCCACCGCCGGGCCCCCCATGGGGCTCGGCAGTGGAGCTGCAAGGCCGGCGGCGGCGGCCGGGACCGTTGATGTCAGGGGGTGTGGCATATGCTAATGAGTTATGCTAATGAGTTCCCCTAGCTCTTTTCCTACAAAATGACCCCTGTTGCAAATGAATGTAGCAACATCTGTAAAAGAAGTGGGAACGTCAGAAACTGAATATTATATTTTTGTTCTGCCATCTGAAGTTCTTGTTGCACTCATCTCCAGTTCCTCCAAAAAAATGTAACATGTGAACATACAAGACCACAAATACAAATAATACGAGTCTCAAATATTTGCGTATTCCAGTCGATGTATAGCCTGCTCTGGATTTGCACAGATCTCTGGTATGCACACAATAGTTTTTAGGTCTTTTTAGGATTTGATATACCAGAGATTTACTCTTAGCCCTGCTGTTGATTTTCTCTTTACCTTTAGGCTTCCAGAACGGTCTGGAGGTATGTTCGTCAATCAGATTTTTATCATGTTCTTCCTCCAAGCAGCTCAGGGCAGTTTACATGGTGCTCCCTCTCACTTTTATCCTCACAATAAACCTGTGAGGTAAATTAGGTTGAGAGAGAGTGACTGGCCCAGAGTCGCTCAGTGAGTTCCATGGCTATGTGGGGATTTGAACCTACATCTCCAGTCCGAAGACTCTAACTACTACACCACACTGGCCCTCACACATACTGTAAGAGTGCAGAAGTTAAGCAAAGCAAGTCTACCTTTGGAAGATCATAGATGTGTTTCTTTGAACCCTGTGAAGGAGTACACATATTAACTAAGCAAATTAAATTTACTTCTTGGGCCATAAAGAAACCTGCCATGCCCAGAGATGTTTTGTGGTGCATTGTAGTCAACACAACCCAGTGCTTAGATGTTTATGGGGATGGGCAGGATATAATACAAATAGGGCTGCCAGGTCTCCTGGGGTGGGGTCCGCTCTAGGGTCCCCCCAACCCACCAGCCTGGATCCGACCACCAGGGGGAACTCCATCCCCAAAGTGCCTGAATTGAGCCCACGTGCCCAGAGCAGTGATGTCACCCAGAGATGTGACATCGAGGGAGGCTCTAGTGTTTGACCTTAAAACTGTATGGTAAGAGACTCTCAGGCACAGAACTTCTCCCCCCTGCTGGATGCCAGGTAGGGACCTGGCAACCCTAAATACAAAATAAATTATGATGTGAAAGTAGCATGTTATAACCACAGCTAAGAAAATACACAGGATCGTAACATTTTATTAATTTATTGTGTGTGAATGTTTGCTGGTTCTCACTCTGATTTTAGTTTTGGGGTGGTTCTCTTTCTTCTGGTGTTTCTTAGGTCTTTTGATGATTTTATTGTTGTGGGTAGGATGATTGATGTTGTCTTTATTGTTGTTTTGAAATGTTTTCCTGTTTATTTTTAATTACTTTTCACTGAATAGTTTACTCTTCCTGTACACCTTTCTTAGTACAAGGAGGGGGTAGAAATCTAAATCGTTTCAAAACTTGTGAAGTAAGGTAGGAGAAGAGAGTTGTGCCTAATGCTTAGTGAGTTTCATAGCTGAGAAACCAATGTGTCAGGCAATAGCTAGAGAGTTAGGCCTGAGTTTCTGACACATCAACGTAACTCTGTAGCCACTGCAACAGGTGTTGGCTGCTCGAGGTATAGATTATATCTTTATTATGACTAGGAAAGTTGTGGCCTTGTGCCAGGAAAGCACAATACTTTGAAAACTAGAGTATCTATTCATGTTGTTTCAAAACCATTCTTTTAAAACTGTCTTTTAATATTCTTTTCTGGGTTAGCTGATTCCCTACTGTTGTCCAGAAGGAAAATAGGTTCTGATGTCTTACTGTTCTCATGCTATCAAAGCAGCTTTCACACAAATAACTGCTATTTTTTCCCTTTCTTAGGGATTTGAAGCCAGAAAATATTCTGTTAGATGATTATGGTAAGTCGGAGAGCTTTAGACAGAGCCCTTTCTTCCACACTAAAGTGGTTCACATTTAGTTGTCCAAAATGCCTTGCACAAAGGCAAATCCTTCTCTGAGCAAGAGGCTGCACAATCATCAGTGCTTGTCTTGGGATTCAGAAAATGATAGTACCCAATGCGTTCTGCACAACTGAGAAAAGAGAAAGAAAGAGAGACCACTCTGAAAAGCAGTATAAGCTTGGGATGTAAAATATCAAGTGTTTAAAAAATTAAACAATAATTTACCTTGTTCAAAAGGATTTGGTGGGCAAAATGTCTTGCGCTTGATGAGAATGTGCAGATGGAGCTGGCTGAGTGAAAGGACAGCAATGTCCCAGCCACTGCTGTGCCAACAGACAATTTCTGCATGTCTGGGGAACTTTCCTGCACATGGCAATGTCTGTTGCCCTAGGAGGAAGAGTGGCCTGAGGTAAGGTACAGGGCAAAACACCTCTGACTGTACAGTAGATGCTCTCATTCCGCAAGCTGTAACATAGGACAACCTTTTGCCCACCACGTTATCTTTTCTCCTGCATTTTTGCAATTATTTTGGAAATCTTCCTTCCTTCATATTCCTAACTTCCCTGTAATTTATCATCTTTGGAATCATTTTGGACTCCTCGCTATCAATGGAGGCCCAGGTGGCAGCCACTGCCAAGTCAGCCTTTTACCATCTGCGGCTGGTGTGGCAGTTGGTCCCCTTTCTCGACCGCAGTGACTTGGCCACAGTGATCCATGCAACGGTCACCTCGAGGCTAGACTACTGTAACGCTCTCTACATGGGGCTGCCTTTGTCGCAAATCCGGAAGCTGCACCTAGTGCAGAATGCTGCGGCCAGGCTGTTGATGGGTCTTCATAGAAGGGACCACATCCAGCCTGTGCTGAAAGCGCTGCACTGGCTGCCAATAGCGTACCGGATTTGTTTTCAAAGTGCTGGTTCTTACCTTTAAAGCCCTACATGGTCTGGGTCCAGCTTACCTAAGGGACCGCCTTTCCACATATGTTCCCCCGCGAGCACTTCGGTCCGGGACCCAACATCTCCTGGCAATCCCAGGCCCCAAAGAGGCCAGGCTGGCCACTACCAGGGCCAGGGCTTTCTCGGTGGCGGCCCCTACCTGGTGGAATGAGCTCCCGGAGGAGATCCGTGCCCTGCGGGACCTTGTGCAGTTCCGCAGGGCCTGTAAGACGAAGCTCTTCCACCAGGCGTATGAGTAGGAGCCACCACTACCATCACCATTACTTCATCTTTACCTGGCCCTGGATGAGGGAACATCAGCGTTTCCCTGGAGCAGATGATGCTGAATAGTTGAAATGCACCATCTGTGAAATACCATGTTGAACATCTAGAGCACTTTAGTCAATAACTTGTTAAAATTGTTTTTGTACTGTTGGGATTTTAAATGGTTTTATATATGTTTTATAATGGCGTTTGCCTCCATGTAAGCCGCCCTGAGCCTGCATCGCGGGTAGGGCAGGGTATAAATCGAAATAAATAAATAAATAAATAAATAAATTTATTTTCCTGAAAACCCCACCCACTCTATTTTCCTATTGGATATGTAAACACTTTCAAAAAACATTTTCTGCTTAAAGTGGTCTGGTCATGGGACATACTTGGATGTTTTTTACCTTGGCTATTTTAAGTGCTGTTTCAAGGACTAAAATATCCAAGGCCAGACACATCAAATGTTTTGGTCAGCTGTTTCTTTACAATTGACACAAATCTTCATTGGCCAAGCAACCAACATAGACAGCTTGCGGGGGCCAAGTGTTGACAGAGGTGGTTTACGGGTGCCTGGTTCCTTGAGATAATCCCCAGACCCCCTGTTGTTTGCTGGAGCTTCCAGCAGGGAGAACAGGAAGCCACAACTTTGCTGGACTGTTTCCTTTCACACTACCTAGGCCTTTCCCTTTTACCAGAGATGATCAGTTTCACATGAGTTCTTCCAAAGAGGAACCCTTTTCAGTAGTTAAATTTATTGTGATGATGTGCTTTTATGAGAACAAATGAATGTTTTCTCTACATTTATGGCTATGCTAGAATATTTGCTTTTTCCACCTGCTTTAGGTCATATCAGAATATCTGATTTGGGTCTAGCTGTTAAAATCCCTGAGGGTGACTCAATCCGCGGACGGGTAGGAACAGTCGGTTATATGGGTAAGTGATCATGTTTCCGGTCTTGTTGATTCAAATTTGACAATTTCAGAACACTTTTCTGTAATGCAAAGTAGCCAAAGTGTTTCCAAACATTGCAAAATGATCACACATCCGCATAGATGATGGTCCCTCTGGCTCAGTTTCCAACATGATGAATCAGTTCCCCTAGTCATATGGGAATAGCTACACGTATTCTCCCCAGATCCTCCAATTAAAATTTGATGCCTAAAAATAGTGTACATTAATTCTGCATGTGTTTATTTTGTCTAATTTTCTCCTGCTTCTAAGACCCCATTTTTTAAAGACCTGAGAACTTTTTTGACAAGACGTGTTTTAGCAGAGAGTAAAGATAGAAACATTTAGAGAGCTGAGGCAATAGTGGGGGTGGGGGGAGCAGGGGATCAGGCAGGCTACTGAACATAAGAACATAAGAGATGCCAATGTTGGATCAGGCCAAAGGCCCATCCAGTCCAACACTCTGTATCACACAGTGGCCAGAAATACCAGTGCCATCAGGAGGTTCACCAGTGGGGCCAGGACATTAGAAGCCCTCCCACTGTTGACCCCCCCCCAAGCACCAAGATGACAGAGCATCACTTGCCCCAGAGTCCCTATCTCTACCTTGTGGCTAATAGCCACTGATGGACCTCTGCTAGAATATTTGAAACCCTATGCTGGGTTTCCCATTGGTGGCCTAACATCAGGCCTTCTAAGCCTCTGCTTCCTTCTCAGTGTGACATCATGACAATTTTGATACAGCACAACCAAAAAAGAGTTTTGCGGCATCTCGGATTAACAGATCTATTGAATCTCTTGATGGAAAGTGCCTACTTCATCAGATGCATGAAGCTAATTTTCAATCAACAGATACACAAAGGAAGGAATGAAAAAATGTAAACAGTAGGTTAAAAGGCTGCAAGACGTATAGTGTGTGTCATTTATATGCAAAACTCAAAACTGACTGGCGCAGAACCACCCTGTCTGTGACTAGGCACATGCAGTCATTGTGAGAACAGGTGGAAGGTCTTTGTCAACAAGTTAGGAGACTGGTGTGGTCTCCTACTCTGGTTATTCCCAACCAGTGATACGTGTACCACCAATGGGATTCAGAAATAGTTCAGGTGGGATGCGGAGTTTTCATAACAATTACTAAGAATCTGCTCTCCCTCAGTCCTCACATCCACCTGCAAGTGTGATATGCCATCTCCTTGCTGCCCTACCTGCCGTAAATTATCCATTTGGCATGCTGGTAGTAACCTTGGAGTCACTCAGTGTTTCTTCTAATCCTCCATTCTCTCTGCCCACTTAGGAAGTGTCTTTGATGCTGCTTCCTGCTGGCCGTACCTGCCAGGGGTTATCCATTGTGCTTTTGCAAATGTCTATGTCCTTAAAATGTACAGTAAATCAATATAGCTAATTCTTAACATGGCTCCATCTGTGCATCCAGAGACTGAGGATATGAACAGACAACAGAGATCTTTTTACAAACCTGAAAAAATTTCCAGGTTTACAGAAGACTCTGAAATCTAAAGGCAAAAAATACATTAGGAAGCTAAAATAATAGAAGCTGGGCTTGTACCTTTACAAAAGGAATGCCCTCTCAGTGTCCCTTGGGGGGTTTCTAGGTAACCACAACAGTATTGCCAGACTTCAAATCTTGGTTCATGACAGTAAAAGGCAGGGATAGAGAGAAGAGGCCCTTTCCAGGACTGTTTTGACCTTTGAGAGAGGACTCAGCAGCAGGAACCACCAGGTGACTTGCTATCATGCAACTAGCATGACTCACCCAAGGACCACTTGCTTGCTACTGTTCAACAGCTGCCACCTCATGAGAGCCAGTGTGGTGTAGTGGTTAGGTTACAGTTTCAGACTAGGGTCAGGAAACCCATGTTCAATACCCTGCCATGGAAGTTAACTGAATGATCTTGGGCCAGTTACAAATTCTCAGCCTAACCTAACTCACATGGTTGTTGAACAAGGTTTTTGAGCCCAGTGGTACCTTTAAAACCAACCAAGTTTAATTCTGGGTATAAGCTTTCATGTGCATATGAAAGCTTATACTCAGAATTAAACTTTGTTGGTCTTAAAGGTGCCACTGGACTCAAAACTTTATTCTATTGCTTCAGACCAACACAGCTACCCACCTGAATATATATTCATAAGGTTATTGTGACGGTGAAATGGAGGTGAAGACAATGACGTAAGCAGTTTTGGGTCCCCATTTTGGAGAATGGCATGGTATAATTGAAGTAAATAATAAATATGGCTGAAGAAAATAATAAATATGGCTCACAATACAAAAACTCATGGGCACTCAATGAAATTGCTGAGCAGTCGGGTTAGAACAAATAAAAGGAAGTACTTCTTCACCCAAAGAGTGATTAACATGGAATTCACTGCCACAGGAGGTGGTGGCGGCTACAAACATGGACAGCTTCAAGAGGGAATTAGATAAATATATGGAGCAGAGGTCCATCAGTGGCTATTAGCCACAAGGTATAGATAGGAACTCTCAGTCTGGGGCAAGTGATGCACTGTATTATTGGTGCTTGGGGGGGGCAACAGTGGGAGGGCTTCTAGTGTCTTGGCCCCACTGCTGGACCTCCTGATGGCACCTGGTATTTTTGGCCACTGTGTGACAGTGTTGGACTAGATGGGCCATTGGCCTGATCCAACATTGGCTTCTCTTATGTTCTTAAGAGGATGGCAGATGAAAGGTTGATGATTGATGGGTGGGAAGGAGAGAAGGAAGCAGGGAAAGGTGAGGATATATGCATGTATAAAATGAAAACAGAACGGCTGTATAAATGTCCTGTTTGGAAACAGTGGACTTTTTGTTTCTATCATGGTGGGACCCAGATTCTTTCATAAAATGTTTGTCAGGATGTAAGACAGAAGAGGTTGAGAACCACTGGCCTAGTTGACCATTTCAGTAACACTGTGTAATGTCTTGACTACTGATGATTCTGCTCAGCCACATTCCGCCCTTCCTTGCAAATTGACCCACATTTTTAAAAAACTTTTCTCTGGTAATCATGAGGGGTAAACAATTTTTTTTTAAAAAAAGTAAAAGCTGTAATCCCCAGTAAGTATTCAGTTCCATGTTTGTGCTAAAAATGTTGGTGAATTGGAATCAATGTGGGATAGGATTTGCCACAGAAGAACCAGAAGTGATTTTATCCCTCTAATAAAAACTACTTGCTCTGTTTGTTAAAATGTGCTTTCATTGCATGTGTGTGTTGAAAAAAAATACTACCTTTATATTGCCTGTACTGAACATTTTGCTCATTTTCAACGTTTATCTTCAACCCATATACCCCAGAGAGTTTCTGCTAAGACTAGTGAGATGACTCAAGAATAAGAGGCCTAGGGAATTTCAGGTTAGGTGTTTCAGTATAAATCATGGGGGGGGGGCTTGTTTCATAGTTCAGTAGCTAAGAAGATGTCTTTGAAACTAATACAATCTAAATTAAAATGAAATACTGCTGATGGAGTTAAATGTGTGTGTGGACCAGGCTTTTTTGCTGAAATGTAATTTTAGGAATTTGCAATTAAATTAAGATAATGAAATTATTGTGTAAGTAAGTTAATTAAAATTAACAAGAATGCATAAGAGAACTCTCATCCAAATAAATTTCCCCCCTCTGATTTACATACAAAACAAAGTGGGCTCCCAAGATCAACTGTGTCATGCAGGCTGGTTCTTTTTTCTTTTTTTTAAAAAAAGGATTTTATTTTTAGAACAAACAAACAACGAACAAACAAACATAAATACAGAAAAGTTTGGAGGTACCATTTACATCATTATTTTAGTTATTTTGTTACCTCATACATTGTATACTTTGTAAATTCATATTTTCCACCTTATATATATATATATTTTAATGTTTTGCATTATAATTTAAAAAATAGTTCGCATTATCTTCTAATTCGGTGATATGTCCATATGTTTTCTTTATTGTAATCTTCCAACCATTTGTAGAATCTTGACCATGTATTTTCGAAGCTTGCTTCATCTCGTCCTCTCAAAATTAAAGTTAGTTTATCCATCTCTGCAGTCTCAAGCGTTTTGTTTATAATTTCTTCTTTAGAGGGCACTTCATTTTTCTTCCAATATTTAGCATATAATATTCTTGCAGTTGTCAATATACGTATAATAAGATAAAAGTCTTGTTTTTTATAATTTTCTGACATTATATTCAATAAAAACAATTCAGGTATATGAGGTACAATGCAGCCTAACATTTTTTGTAACATTTCATGAACCCAAGACCAATACTTTTTAGCTTTATCACATGACTACCACATATGAAAAAATGAACCAACATTTTTTGGCACTTCCAACAATCATTTGATAAATCAGGATAAATCATTGCTAATTTTTATGGAGTCATGTACCATCTATAAAACATTTTATAAATATTTTCTTTGTATGAGGTTGCTTTGGTAATTTTTACATTTGTTTTCCATATTTTTAACCATTGATCTAAATCAATATTATGGCCCAACTTTTGTGCCCATTTAATCATAGGATCGTTAACTATTTCATCCTGTGTCTTATTTGCCAACATTATTATATATAATTTCTTAATCTTCGGTGTGTAACAATATTACTTTGTCTTTGGCATACCTTGACTCTATTTGTGCTCTTTCCCACCAACTTAAATCTGGTTTTTGTTTTATAAGGTCTTCTGTTGACTTTAATTCATTTTTATTGTCCAGTAAATCTTTGTATTTTAGCCTTACATTCTTTTGCATCAATTTTGGGTTTGTAAGTGCAGGCTGGTTCTTAACCAAACTAAAGAACAGACTGAATGTTGTCTTTCATTCTTGAACATTGGCTGCAGATATTTCAGTGTAGTTCACATGCTATGCTAAGTAGAGTTGCACCCTTCTAAGTGCCTTGAAGTCTCTGTTTAGGATTGCACTGTTAGTATGGTAAGGCCAGTATAGAAATGGACAAATCTTTTCACAGGTCTCCTCTTTCTCACACAGCTCCAGAAGTCTTGAACAACCAACGATACACACTTAGCCCTGACTACTGGGGATTAGGTTGCCTGATTTATGAAATGATTGCAGGACAGTCACCGTTCCGTGGGCGGAAAGAGAAGGTGAAGCGAGAAGAGGTAGACAGGAGAGTCTTGGAGACGGAAGAGGTTTATTCCCATAAATTCTCTGAAGAAGCAAAATCCATCTGTAAAATGGTAAGGGGATACTCTTTTGTAACACTTATGTCAGATGCGGCCCCCGTAACAAATGAGTTCTTCTCTTGAAAATATGGATGAACCCTAACCTTGAAGGAACCTTGAAAGTTTATTTTTTCTAGCAGAAGGCCTAATTTTAAGGTGACCAGTCCCTTTGCAAATCCTTTAGGTACAGAGGTGTCAAACCTTTGTACCTGGAGGGTTTGCGAAGGGACCAGCCACCGTAGAATTAGGCCTTCTGCTAGAAAAAAATAAACTTTCAAGGTTCCTTCAAGATTAGAGTTCATCCATATTTTCAAGTCAATAACTTTATTAGATTAGACTGGAATTCTCTTTGAAAAGAAGAGAGGTTTCCACCATCTTATAAATGGCATCAAATATGAACTTCTCCTTGACAGTATTCATGGCAATTCATACATTCATCCACTACAACTTCCCATCTTCCAGTTAGACGAAAATGATTTCTGTTGAGTTTCTCTAAGCATAGTCAAAAACATCCAGATGATCTTGTGTGCATCTTAGAACTTGAAGAAGAAAGTAGAGATTTATTCCATTTACTTGCCTGTCCACTATCACCATGAGCTATTGGGTCAGTAAATGATGCTAGCACAATGGTTCCAAACCTTTTGGCGCATGCAGGCACCTTTGGAATTCTGACACAGGGTGGTGGGCACAACAACTAATTGGCTGCAAGGTGGAGGTAGAGCCAGCCACAAAATTAACAGGGAGTGAGGTTATGCATGAATCTAATGTAAAGGTAAATGTAACTCTTGAAACAGAGTTTCTGTCTGAAATGTTGAGCAGGATGATTTTTAATCTCCACAGCCAATCAGAGGCCCTGCTGGGCGAAAGCCCTCCCTGGCCCCTCCCACTTTCTATACACATTTGGTGGGCTCCAGGAAAGGTGTCAGAAAGCACTGTGACATCCTCAGGCACCATGTTAGAGACCCCTTGCTAGTGTGTGTGATGAGGCTGTGGGAGGGGCGCGTTATAGACATTAGCACTGTCCTTCCATTTATATTCTTCCAGCTTTGGAAACAGTGTAGCTGGAGAATTTTCCTGAAAAATTAGCCCAGTCCTGGTTGAGACAACAGCATGTAAGGTGTTGTCTGTTTATAATGGGCAGGGGAATCAGTCTGAATGCTCAGAAGAAACAAATTTCATTGATTTTTCTATTTCTTGTACAGCCATGACCTGATTACATCTATTCATGTTTGAATTGTTTTATTGTTCTCTAAATTGTAATCCTGTATATTTTTCATTTAATACTGTCTTTGCTGTTAGTTTTTCTACTGCTGCCCTCTGATGGACAAGACAAAAACCACTGAAATGTATCATGAACAGTGTGGATTTCATTCTTTTCCCTTTTAAATCTGTTTATGCCAAAGAATGTAATTCTTCCTCATTTCTTCTTGTTTGTCTTGAGTCATATACTCATTGTAGTAACTGAGTTGTTTTAAATTCTAATGCTGTTTGATGCTGTGAGCTTCTTCTCTGGTGTCTTCAGCAAATCTTCAGAATTAAGCTGGAAGAGAAAAGAATGAAACCCAAACCAGCCAAAGAGATTGACCATAATAAAGACTATTTTCCTAAGTGTTTCAAATGCAGTTTTCTCTCTATGACTTTTAAATATTAGAAACCTCTGTTTTCTTTAAGCAATTGCTTATTGAGTTATAAGTGTACACCAATTAATAATACATCATATATGTGAGCACTGAATGCGTAAATGAACCAAAATAGAGGAGTTAATTATAGACAAGAAAACAGAGAGCCATTATCAGGGTTGTTTGTTTTTGGGGAGTTTTTTGGAAAAAGAGGTGCCGGAACTCTCAAGAGGGAAATGTTCAATCTGTATACTGAAAACTCAGGAACTTGTAAACGTTTTAAAAAGAATTTTGTTGAAGAGGTTCCAGAACTCTGTTCCAGTGCGTTCCCCCAAGAAAAAAGCACTAGTCATTACATTCATAGCTTAGGTAATGCTTGGCAAGTGTAACTAGATAAGTCCCTATCCTTCCTTTTGTAGTCATGTAATATTTAGTGGATTGTATCTCCAACATGGAACCTGTGAGGTATACAGTAGATCACACCCAGCTAGCCTTCAGGTGGATGATGCCAATGATGCTGCCATCTTCCTGAGACCAATATCTAACATTTTTAAAATGTCATCTGAGCAAGAGAAGGAATCTGTCTCTTCCCCCTCCCTTTTTATTTTAGGTATGACACTGATCAAATCCGTAAATTCTCCAGGTCCGAGACACACACTGTGAAACCTCTTTCTGTGAGAAGGCTCATAGTTTCAGTACTGTGTTGTGATTTTTCTAAGGGCACTATCACTGACTTGTACAGTCAGAGAGGACTGTGAAGTTTAACAAATGTGTGAGGTGCTGTGTGTGTGTGAATAAATAAATAAAAGCTTTCTTGCAATTCTCTTGGTCATTTTCAGCTACTGACCAAAGATGTGAAGCAGAGACTTGGTTGTCAGGGAGAAGGTGCAGCTGAAGTGAAGAGGCACCTGTTTTTCAAGAGCATGAATTTCAAACGCTTACAAGCAGGACTGGACCCTCCTTTTATCCCTGATGTAAGTGATCCTTGAAAGAGAATCACAGAAATGAAGTGGAACTTGAAAGCGATACACTTGAGGGTATTCTCTAACCTAAATGTCTGCTGCAGTTTTCTCCTTGAATGCCAGTGTGGCTAAGTGACTGTCTTGTTTATTTTTATTTATTGTTTGGCAGAATTGCACACAGGAAGCATATAATATAAAATGCGTAACCAAGTTGATACAACGAGTATGCAGACCGAGTGGGCAATTCCCCTAAATACTAATATCTGTATTTTCAGTTTACTCAATTGTAGCTGGGAAGAGTTCAAGGAGTTCTGTCACATCACCCTGGAAAGCATGATACTCACATTCCTGTGACAGATGGGCAATATTTTGGCAGGCTGCATCTCAATCGCATTTGGATCTTGATATTTTGCCCTATTTAAACAACAGATCTGTACAACTACCAAAGCCTGTTTGTATTCTATTAGCCATCTTCCATACTTTACATGGCAAGTCAAATCCTGCCAGGCCTCTTGTTAATGTTTATCAGATTACGGATATCGGATGGAACTGATTGCATCCATGTTCACAACCATTCATTCCCTAGATCAAAATTTTGTGAATGCAAGATTTGTGCCGATCTTATTGCTGGGTGTCAAGATCTTAGTCTGGATAGGCCATGTCTTTGTGGTTTGGTAACTCTGTTTTTCAGTTAACTTTCTGTATTAACAAAGAAGAGCAATTTGGGGAAGCATGTGGCACAATGTGGGTAGCCAATAGGTTGGAGTAGGTTTAATACATCAGCTGATGGTTCTCATTGTTGTATTGAGTGGGACATGAAGTTTGTGGATATGGGGGCTGTTGAGCCACACTGCAGTACCATATTCTGCAGTACTATACACTAACCCCAAAGTTTAGCATCTTAGTGTTGTAGCAGACAGACCCCAAGTTGTACCACATAATCTTTGGATAACGTTGTTTTGTGTGTGTATTTTTGCTGCTACATTGGTAAGATGATGTTTATGGCTCAAGGTCCTGTCCAGGGTAATGCCAAGCTACTTAGGTGTATGGTTGTGCATAAATTGTGTGCCATTAAGGTAGACATTCAGTTCACAGTTGGCAAGATTGTTATCGAGATGGAAACAGGAGCATTCTGTTTTTCCTGGACTTGGAATAAGCCACCCTTTACGGTAGTAGTCAACCAAAAGTTTGAGTTCCCTAGTCAGTATTTCCTCAGTCCTTTCAATTGATTTGTGCCGTGCTGCAATCACCATGTCATCGGCATAAGCAAACTTCCTGGATATCATCTTGGGAACATTGGAGATGTATAGATTGAAAAGAACTAGAGTGAGGACTGAGCCCTGTTTCTTCTGCTTGCTGATTGACTGACCCATAATTACTTAGAAAGTTCTGTTTCTCAGCATGTTATTTAGGAGTTGAAATAATATTCTTCTGGGGAAAACCTGTAAAACTTTGTACAGCAGACCATCCCTTGAGACTGTGTCATAAGCGGCAGTCAGATTAACAAAAACTTCTGATGTCTTAAGACACTTCTGATACCCTGCCTCAATGAAAGTTGTTAAGCTGAGAACCTGGTCTTCACAACTATGATGAGGTCTAAATCCTGCTTGCTCTATAGGGACATGTTTGTTAATTTGTCACTGATTCTATTCAGGATTAGCCTCTCCAGGAGTTTACAACAGAAGCTCAGAAGGGAAATAGGTCTGTAGTTTTCCACCAAATGTTTTGGTTTTCCAGGTTTCAAAATAGCAACTATCTTTGCATTCTTGAATTCCCCCGGGAGTCTTCCTGATCTCATAACGTCAGGAACTCATAAATGCAGTCAAAGCCTCGTGTTGGGGTGCAGGCTGGTGTTGGGGTGCAAGCATGTGGCATGTCATTGAAGGTGGAACTATGAAAAGCAAAGCACTAATTTGGAGAACGTAGACAAAGTCCAGTCCAAGGATCAAGCACAGTGTCAGAGAGTTGGCAAAGAGCAGGTCTAATGGGCAGTCGAAACACAGAGCCTAGCGGTCCGAAAGTCGATCATGAGCAGGTTCAGAACAGATTTAAGAATCATAGTCAGGAGGTGGTCCAGGAAGTCACAGTGGCAGGGCAAAGTCCAATTCAGTGATCGCAAGGTAAAGTTGGGTGCAGTAGATGCAGAGTCGGGAGTAAAGCAACTAGTTGCTTCAACGCCTAGTTCATCTTCTGCCTCATTTATGCTTGAGTCACAGCTGGGCCACATTAGGCCAGTGCGTAGGCAATCATCCTGGATTGTTAGCTCTAGGCCACTAGGCACACATTTCATCTCCTCTCGAGTAGTTTATGCCTTGCCCGTCATAGCCGGCATTACAGAAGCTCTGGGGACAGCAGAGGCGAGGTGGCCCATGTGACCTTGTCTGGTCCCAGGTCCTAAATCAGGGTAGTTGAAGCACTGTCCTCAGTTGACAGTTCCTCGACTTAAGAACATAAGAGAAGCCAATGTTGGATCAGGCCAATGGCCCATCCAGTCCAACACTCTGTCACACAGTGGCGAAAAATACCAGGTGCCATCAGGAGGTCCAGCAGGGGGGCTTCAGGGGACTGTCTGTCACTGGCTAGTTGTGAACTGGGACCTGCTTCTGCTGCCCTTATGTCACTTTTTGCCTCATCTGAACTGGTCAGCTCAGGATGATCCATGACACCTGGTGTCGTTCTGCTCTTGATGTCCTTCAGTGCCTTGAAGATCTCATCAACACTGAAATCTCCTGACAGCTCGGAGTCTTTAGGGCAGGTGCATTTCAAAATCTGGAGTTCTTTTTTTAAATCCTGATTGTAAAATCTTGATCTTTCGGGGCTCTGGATAGAGATACCAGTTGGGCAGCTACCTGGTCTGATGTTACCTCCAGATTTCCTCAGAGCATGGGGGGGAGGGTTTGCACCTAAGTTTATTAACAGGCTCCAGACTTTCCTACTGGAATGCCTGAAATCCAGATTCACAGTTGCTTCTGTCCATTTTTGTCTACGTGCAGAGTCAAGTTTGTGGAGTAGTTCATCTGCTACTTTGCTGTCGAGGAAATTTTGATACAGCCTCCCGCTCTGATCACTCCAGCCTGGAATATATTTGTTCCGATATCCTTGAGGACTGTGCCTTTTGGCCATAGGTATAACAGCTCCAATAAATCAGCGGTAGTTATTATGTGTTGGGGTGCAATTCTAGCTCACTTTTTCATGGTGTACCCTGGATAACACTATTGTGTTAGAACTTCTAGCTGTCAGGCAATAATAGAATCTCCTGGCTACACTACACACTTGGAAACAATCAAACAGGCCTTCTCAGGACTATTTGACAAGGGGTATAGGAGACTGCATCCGAATCTGCCAAATGAATATTGAGTGACTGTTAATCTTGGGTGCCTGGGTACAATGACTCTTTGTTCAGCCTCAGATGGCTATTTTACAGGGCTTTGGGAAGGAGGTAGGGTTAAATTAAAGCCACAATAGGGTTTAAACAGGTTTAACAGTAATTCTCAGAGAATTCAGGGAACTGTAGTTCCATGATGACAGTTCTCAAATAGAGTTCTCAACACACCAAGGGCGCTTCCAAAATGCATTTTTGCTCCAGCTCCCTTTCACATGTTTCGTTTGCCCATCGTTGCTCTCTTGGTTTTCCTTTGAGGTTTTCCCATACATTCACTCTTGTGAAGAGCTGAAAAAACACAGGAAAAATTCAGGGAGAAAAAAAGGAGATAAACAACTAGCAGATGATACTATGACAACCCAGTGCAATTAAGAAGCCAAGCAGGAGCTAAGATCTGGTGCAGAAACCCACAAGTTACAATTCTCAGGAGCCTTTGGAGGAAGCCATGATATTACAAGATTGTAGATTCTTTAAAATGTATCTTTTTCTAGCAAATGGAATTCCCCTTAAGACTGCTTTGGTGTACAGTTTATCTCACAATGGATCAATCCAGGTTTTTCAAATTTGTGGCAAGTTATGACTTCGGCCTGTATTAGAGTATTTTCAGCGATATCACTTCACTCTGCCAGAGTTGCAGGAGAAGCCATTGTGTAGTGACAGCCTTTTCAAAAAGGTCATACAAACTGACCCTTAACCGTGGAGGGCTTGAGTACTATTGTTCAATCAGAGTTTCACTTCTATATAATAGAAATAATGTAGGCCTACAACATAGGGCTAAAGTGAGAACAAATGAGGTAAGGATTGTAAAAATAAATAAATAAATAAAAGCTGAAATCAATTTTATTTGCTTTTCAGTAAGCCCTCTACAAGATCAAAAGTGTTATTTTAGATGCATCCCAGTAGGATTTTTTTACTATTTTTCTCTCAACTACAGTCTTCCAGGTAGTATATCACAAAAAGTGTTTTTGAAACTCCCCTGAGTTCCATAGTTGATAGCCATGCATATGTCATGGATGCATTCAGTTAAAGAGAGACAAATCCAAGTCCTGTCAGACATGTGTAATAAAATGCATAGATGGCGTGTTTCCTAATCTAAATGCCAGATCAACTGGACATTTTTCTTCTGTTTTCCTTTGTTCTGAGTGTTTAAAAGAGGCTTGTTTAGAATGGGGATCCTAAAGTGTGCTGTTTTCTATCATGAGAATCAAAACTGAAGTAACATTTTAGGATCTTTGCCTAACAGACATTTGTTTGGTCCATTATAAATGTTCTTGGGCTTTAAAAAAAATATTTTATCATACTTTTCAGACAAAAGTTTTCTCTCAGAACACCTCACATCAATTTAAAATTCAAACCATCAATCAGTAAGTCTAATTCTCAGCCAAATGTGAGGATACTTAAATCCAGAGATTGGAACCATGAACAAATTTTTCTACAAACCCGAGAAAAGCCCCAGGTTTACTGAACACATGGGGAGGATTAATCCCCCCATAAGAGAACCAGATAAGACAATAGAAGGAGATCTGTTATCTAGAAGGAGATCTCTGTGACCATTGTGGGGGTTACTAGGTAGCCACAATAAAATTGCCAGCATTCAAAACTCAGACCTTTTCCACACCTCAGTGTTGCT